TGAATGTATGTTTTCCAGAGGGAAAGCTGTAGAAGGGAGAAAGAAGCTTAAAAGGTCCAATTCATTAGCCCCTGTTTTCTTGATCTGAGATCTCCTGGCACTTGAAACAATAGTTTTAGGCACATCCGCTCTCTGTTTGAAGGCAGGAGGAAAAGAAACATTGACAGATGCATAATATCACAATAAAACATTCTTGCAATAATAAATACATCTGATTTGGAAAAAGTAGATGTAGCAAAAAAGTAGCATACTTTGATAGTTGTTTCTGTTTAGTTTTATTGGAGTATATGAGAATCTAGTACATACTTACTTCTAAAGCCATTCATGGGGAAAAAAGGGGGAGAGGAGAATAGGTGCAATAGAAAAGATACAAAACAGAGATTTCAAAGCATGGGCAAATGTATTTTTCTATAACTTAAGTGCCACTGCTTTTTACATCTTCACTGATGAAAATGGTTGCTTAACTATTAGTGAAAATGTAGAAGCATAGATGCTTAAGCACATACAGCTTTTTAAAATTATTTTTGTTACTCTAAATTATTATCTGCAATAGTGATAACCATTTTGAGAGTCATTGACACATTTATTATTCTTTCAGTAGTTGTTAATTATAAGATTGGTAGCTACCCAGTGACAGCATACAATTCTTCAGGGATTTTTGCTGAGACAGTTGATAGTGTCTAAGCAATCAGTAACAGCACATCTACATCTGACCCATATTTTGGAATTTGATATAAATCATGTTGCTAATGAGTAGTGCATGAGGCAATAACTAGTTCCATTTAAGTCTTGCAATTTACAGAAAAGCCATTTGTCCCACAGTGTTTTTAATGGAAGGTATTCCTAGCAGCTAGTTTGATAAATGATTGACTAGCACATGAAGAGTGGGTTTTCAGAGTTCTCATATTCAGCTTGATGTGGTTCCAACAAGAACAATTTCACCTCACAGGGGAAATTAGGTCTATGTGACTGGACTGAGGTGGTAAATCAAAAATATTCCCGTGTTAAAGTGTCAATCAGGTGGCCTCGGCAAGAGGCACAATACTTCAGTCTTCTGAAAGAATATAAAAGAAAGGATCTGTCTCAGTAATTTGTTTGACCCACTGTTTAAGAGAATGTGCTTGTTGTAAAAACATGGGAGGTGACAATTGTGAGTTACAATAGTATGTACTAAGAGAAATAAATAAATAAAAATAAGCATCCTGTCTTCATCTCTGCAACATATGCTTAATCTTTGCTTGCACACACAGACATTGTGGAACCCGATAATGTTTGCAGTCAAGCTTTTTAGTTGTCCTGAAGTACTCCAAGATCTCCAAGAACATACATACTTCCAAGGAAGCGGTATGCTAAAATGTGCAGTATCGCCTTGGAGGAACCTGACACTGCAAAATTCATTACAAAAATATTCAGATTTCCCTCTGTATAAGGATACGCTCCCTCGTTCCTGTGAAGACTGGCAGCTTAATAAATAATGTTAAGTACACTAAGGAAATAGTTCTATTTAAAGTAAGGGTAGTTATTAAAAGAAACGGTGGTGAAACTGTTCAGCTTTCTCCAGATTTAGTCATCTGTAGTGATGGCTTCTGGAGATAGAGGTACATGAAGTGTCTACCTTAACCAGCTATTTTAAACCTTCAGAATATCTGTGATTTATTTGTCTGGTTAAAGACATGTGGTGGATATTTATGAGTAAGATTTAGGTTCCCATGTTTCAATAGCTGATTTGCATAGAATTACACAGGAAAAATCTACACTGTGAGAATAAGATGCATTTATTCCTTATTTTCTGAACAACCAGGTATGACTGATGAAGCTACAGATAAGTTACAGCATTTTTAGCATATAGCAGGCTGGACAACATTTAAGAATCAGTAATACTGCCAGTGAGTGTCTATCATAGCTATTAAAAGCTGAGACCAGCGTAACACATCCTGGGGCTAGTCTCTGAGTGAGGTATTCTCCCAGATATAAAGCTTGGGCAGTCATAGGCAAGCTTTGGAGGTGAGGTGTAGGGGGTCACATAACATAATTAAAAGAAGAACTAAAATCCTTATCCCCACATCAAGCATGGCTTGCTCTCTTTCTGTTGAGCTCTCTCCCAGCACATGCAGCTTCCCTTCCTGAAAAGGCACGGGTGTACTCACTGTCCTGAAACCATAGCCATGAACACTTTTCCCTGTGTGTGGATTTCTTTGCTTTTTTGCTCAGGGGGCTTTTCTTTGAGGGGAGGGAGGACAGCACTGTGACTTGTTAAGTACATGGCAGGAGTTGGGGAGTGAAGTAAAATCCTATTCTCCTAGTATATAGAAATTTAAAAAAAAATCAAGTAGTTTGAAGTAGCTGGGGTAAGTTAAAATTCTTATTTCTTTTGTATACAAGAACTCTGAATACAACAGAAGTCTCCCAGACCAAGAGGAGTTCTGGCTCCTGATGGTTCCTTGTGTGTGCAGACTGCAGATTTGCACTTGCACAAAACTGGATTTCCAGTGCCTTCAGGGATTCAAAGATATATATTCTGAAGAGTTAAAAAACTTTCCTCATTATAGTTAATCGGGACATCTAGGAATACAGGGCCAGATCTTCAATTTGTGTAAGTCACTGTGACCCTACAGACTTGTGAGGAGTTACACTGATTTATGCATGCTGGACATCTGGTCTTCTCCTAGTTTTCCTTTCAAGCGGTGCTTTTACTTTGTGTCATCAGTTTTTGTAAGGAAAACCTCAGAGATGTAAGCAAGCACATTTCTATGTATTTTCTACTTATGAGTGAAATACACTTAATATCCTATTCAATCACTTAAAAATCTGGATTACCGATGAGAAAAGCCCTTCAGGTTCATTTCAGAAAAAGACGTGCTCTGCCGCAGAAGCTCTGTTCTGCCATATATTGTGCGTGTGGTTTTGGCTGTGACATGAATAAGAGTCAAGGAAAGCACATAAAAGTTAAAGTAGGTTCATATGGAGCACAATGCCCTCAATATGTCAGTGGTAGCTTTTTCCCTACCGCCTCAATAAATATAGAAGTCTTTAATGGCTTCTTACAACCATTCAGTCCAGCTGGCTTTATATGATTTGTATACCCTTCTTCTCTGTGCTGGGTTAAGATTTTACTTAGAAATATCCTCTGAGCTACCTCACACTGTGATCGTTTCCCTGCAGCGTGCGGTCACACTGAAACAAATTCACTGAGCTAATTGTCCTTTTATTTATCCTTTGTACACTGGAAGTCATTTAAAAGTCAGTTCATTTATGCCGGTGTAAAACTGGATAATACAGTTGTAAGGCTAAGTGCTGTTCATGCTAGTTGCATAGTAGGAAATAAGATCTAATAGGACCCTTTCTGTTTGAGTAGTTTCTTTTCATAGTCCCAGCTCTGCTTTCATTCACTCAAGGGGAGATTTTCATTAACTTCAGTGGGTTGTGGGGACATGGCAATCTCCACATTCTTTGTGGTCTCAGCCGTATCTCTGCATAAACATAAAAGAAAGAAAAATAAGTAAGGTTTATGACCGGATCTTCACCTTCTGGAAATCAGTACATCTCTTTCCGTTAGTGCTTAAGATAGCGAGTCTGGTTTTGAATCTTGTGATTCTGGTGGGATTATTTAGGAGAACCTCTAGAGTATGAATTGGTGTGTTCTGTATTCTACAGTTGAATATGCTAAATTTTAAAATTATTCCAGTCTTTTTAGGAAGCAAGGTCCATCCAGTGAGCCAATGCTGAGAAAGCCTTGGCATTGACATACATTGTCCAGATGAAATTGAACAGTGACATTTTTCTCATAGGAAAGCAAGATACATTACTTTGGATAACTTGATCCCAATTTCCAGGAGACTATTGAGATTAAGGTCAGGCTATTCTGATCTTCTGCCTGCCAGAAGTATAGGTTTGCTACGCTGTCAAAATGAATGAGCAGTATTTTTCCAGATTTGCACATAATAAACTGCTTGATAGGTATACTTGCCATCTGTATCCTTCTATGTTTAAAAAAGCCCTAGGTCCAATTCTACCTGTCCAAATTTACATTCCAGAAAGAAAAAATACGTTAAGTGGAAAACGCAAATGTCTCATCAAAGCACCATACACCTTAGCTGATTAATAACTATGGTCAACCAACCAGGGAAATTCCACACAAAGCCGAACTTCATGATGGCAGATGGTTTTGCCGATCGCGGTAACCTGCAGACTGCCCTCAGGAGTGCTGTCTTCTGCACGCAGCATACGTGGTCTTGAGAATATTCTTTGATGAGAAGTGCTAAGCATATTGGTATGAGCTGCCAATGCAACATGGTGATTGCTGCAGATTCTCTTGTCGGTGTTCAGGCCTTACAAGATCCTTGCAATATATTGCCAGCTGTATGCAGCCCCCACAGATGATAGTGTACTCCTCACTGCAGCAGCCAGATTGTCACCAGCCTAATCTCATTCATGACCAGCTATTTATATAAGTGATCACATGGGGCTAGTCAAGTGAATGACCATTTATCTACGTCTGTAAGGGATTCACAGTCTGGCCGCATGCTGATTGAAGCATAAAATGTGAAAATAGATATCTAGAGAACATAAGATTGATATCCTGTGATAAAAACTGCAAGTGTGCACATTGCCACGAAGGCTACGATGGCAGCTGGAGCTGGGGGAGGCCCAGGAGATTAATCTTCTGCCTGCTCACCAGCGTCGGATCCCAGGGCAGTGTTGGGGTGTAAGTGGCTTACACTCTTGGGGATACCCGCCAGAGGCTAATTTTCTGCTGGCAGTGGACTCACCCCTCGTGTTACGTAAGTAGAACTTAAAGGGTGTCTGTCATATATAAATATAAATCGCTGTGGTTCCTGTCAAGGCAACTGGTAACTGAACAGTTATTGCTTGTTTCTGCTACTTCTCACTGGCCCTCAGCTGAGAGCAGATTTTGCTACTCTGCATTTGTAGCTACAAACCTGTGAAACGTCTCTGGCAGCAGACCTGAAGCTTCTTTTCTCTTCCTTTGTTACCTGCAGGTCCGACGGATCTCAGTATGAAGAGGCAGTTAGCAACCAGCTCTGGATCCTCCAGTAGTTCAAGCTCTAGACCCCAGCTGAGTCCAACTGAAATAAATGCAGTGAGGCAGCTTGTGGCAGGGTATCGAGAATCGGCCGCATTTTTATTGCGTTCTGCAGATGAACTGGAAAACCTTATTTTGCAGCAGAACTGAGTCACGTGACCTTCACACTGGCCTGGTCTTATCTCAGAGTTTCCACTAATGACATTTTGATTTCCCAGAGCACACACTTCAGTTACTGCACAGTCTTTTAGGAGAGTTAATTACCATAATGCCACACTGTTCTTGATCCATAAAGTGATGTGTTAAGGTGCTTCAAGTGAACTTCGACCTCTGGTATTTCCGAGGTACTTTACTGTGTCCAGCCTATTGCTTTTGTTTTAGTGTGTCAGCATAAATATCGAAAAAGTGGCTAGAAATTAACTCGTTCTAACAAGTGGAGGAAACAGAAGATGCTGTGATGGTTTAAAAAAAAAAAGGTTCAAGATCCAAGTGCAATATTAGTGGAATGTGATACTGACTCATTGGACTTAAAGCTGCAGTATATGGCAAAACGTTGCCAAATGTCCTGTTGCTACAGGGCACAATTGCAATTAAAAGGATCTTGTATTTTAAAAAAATGTAATTTTTATAAAAAAACAAAAGATTTTTGTTTTCATTCAAGATTTTTCATTTTTACTTTGGTAAACTTTTTCACTGGTCCTGAAAATGTTTTGAGGAGCTATTGTAAGTCCCCCCTTCCTCTCTTGAACCCCTGACTGTGCCCTTCTCCCCAACTTCATATTCTTTCTACAACGAGTAACTCTTGATGCTGGATAATTCTTCCCCCGTGTACTGTAAATTGTCATCTATGGAATACCTTCCAAAGGAAGCATGCATTTCCTGCATTCATACCACTCTTGACTCCATTCTGTAATATATTGCAGCTTTATTAGCAATTAATAAAGAGCTGAGGGTTTTTTAAAAAAGGCATATCATTGAGAAAAAAAAAAAAGATAAATTGATTTCTTACGGTGAGCTCATCTAACTCCATGATCACTGCTGCTGTCCTATACAAGTCCCTCTAGTTGTGATTGGATGTAGATGGTGAATGTTAAGAGGTTGCAAGTGACAATCTGAAAATTTGCACTCTTGTGTGTATTTATTTTGTTTTCCTTAATTTAAACAAAATTCTTACGGAGGAAGGTCATTGACACTTCTGGTATGATTTGTATAATTCCCAGGCCTAGCTAAAACCTGTACAAAACTGTAAATGGATGCAGCTGCAACTATAACAAAACTCTTCTCTCCCCTCCCCCACTCTTCCCAATCCCTCTATTTCTTATTTTATAATATTGATTACACATTAATGGTGTTTTCTTTGTGCACTACGGCAGGCTTCTTTTTAAGTATATAGAAAAAAGTACTTTAGTTTATGCTTACTGTACTATCTGTTCTGTTGTTTAGCTTTTGTTGAATAACAAGTTTCTTGTGCATTCCTAAATTTGCCTTATTTCATGTACAAAATTTTATGTAATTCCGTTTTTGACAATGAGTTTAAGGCATCAGTGATATTTTATATCTACTTGTTACATATAGTTTTCCAAGTAATGACTGTGATTGTGACCGAGTAATGTGCACTTTTTCTTGTAACTGTGGACATTGCTATGCTTTTTTTTCTCTCTAGTGTTTCTAGAATTACTGTTGCTTACAGTTATGTAAAAGAAAAAGAACTTTTGTGATACTGTTGGTGAATATTAATGTGAAAAAGCCTATGAAATATGAGTATTTTGGAGGTACATAGATACACAAACATCTCTAAGTTGTGGACTGATGTTCACGTATTTAAATGAGAATTCAAAACCTGAGGGCTGGAATCATTTCCTCTGTTTTGTTTGGGTAAATAAACAGATTTCTGTGTTTAAATACATGATTGTGAAACATTATAACATTTAAATTGACATAGCATTTAAAGCTGTAAATATTCTCTTTGAACAGGAAGAAGGGACTTCCAATCCAATTCCTGCAGACACCCAAACCTCATTTCTCAAAATTATTGAGTAAATCCAGTAGGCTGATCTAGCTGGAGCTTTGTTTTAATGAATAATTTCATCAATAAGAGTAGAAGCGGGTGGTCCATACATCATGAAATACGAGTCACTAGCATTTTATAATTTTACGTTGGCTGGAGGCACCACCACTTTGCCACCCTACATTTATTCTTAAAAATCTATTGGATATCTTTTTAAAGGCACTTGTTCTTGGATATGAGAATATTGTTGCAAATTCTTACTAGTTGCTACCCATCACTTGAGAGGTGCATTTGCTCCTAACATCTTCTCACCATGCCTGTGAAAGCCTATAGCTTGTCTGTACCATGGATGTGTGGTTCCCTCAGCTTTTGTCCCACCAGACATTCAAAAGGCTATTTAGGAACCAAGTGCCTTTTTCTTCTCTTCCACTTTCAAATGTCTACAGTTTCTTCTTTCTCTTGCATGCCAGGAGGGGATGGAGCAGGTACCTTGTGTCAGGTCAGTACCTTGTCCTCATCCAAAGAAAAGTTCTGGCATACGTTTTCCACAGAGAAGAAGCGCGACAACTATGCTTAGCTTTCAAAGTTTCCTTAGTCCTGTTTTGCAGAGCAGTGTGCCTCAAGCTGCCACCTAAGCAGCAAGCAGCAACCAGCAGTTTGCCTAAGAGGCTGTTTGACGGCCAGGAATGCTTCTCAGCTGGGCAGCCTCACTGCTTTTCAAGCTGTCTTGCTAAATCCAGATAAGGACAAGAGGCTAGAGGATGAGGAGGCAGGAGATCTACTTCAGTGTTCTACCCTCTGACTCCTCTTTCCTCTCCCCCTGTTACTCCTTTTCTTGAGGGAGCAGTAGGAGAGTTGGAGGTCAAGGCCTATGGCTAGTCTCCACTTTTTCCTGCTCCACCTCCAGCTTACTTTGCTAGTTCTCCAAGTATGTCTTCTACAGCACACACATCCTCTTCTTCTGGCTGCATTCTCTGAAATATTTAGGGCCTTCTTCAATTATAGGAGCAATTTATGTCCTTTTCTAAAGGCTCATACAGATACTTGGCTTTCAGTCCTCAAGTGGTTTATCTGTACCAAATTCCGGCAGACTGATGGGGTTTTTACTCTATACCTGTTTCCAGCTCTAGGTATTGGGTTTATTATTCTCTTCTTTGGAACAATCATAGTTTCAACTATATTTAACTTCATCTTCTTGTAAGAGGGTACTGAAATTCAGACCCATCCTGTGAAGGAGAGACCATAAACCTCATTCCACTTTTGTGTGTGCAAATCTAGATCCAAGCATCGCAATTAAATTTGCCCTCTTGGATCCATTATAGGTCTGAGAGCCACCTACTCTCTGCCTGCTTTGAACTCCTAAGGAAGTAAAGGCGCAGGTGGAGAAGATCTTGCTCCAGCCATAGACTGAGTCAGGTATCCAGATATAACTTCTCTTACCCACATCTTCTGTAATCAATGCTTGATCACCTCAACCTAAATATTGCTGTTTGGATAAGGCCAGTCCCTTCCAGCATGGGCATGCCCCCTGAGTATGCCTGCTTAAGGCTGCCTTCAGAAAAGTGTCATCCTTATATCCAGTATCTTTATTAAACCAGTGCTTCAAGTTGATGGATGTCTCACTGCAGAACCTCATCAGTGCAGCCTGGCAGGTGCTGGTCTTCCTTGAGGCAGCCTCATGTCCTCCCAGCTATCCTGGAGTTTCCTTGGGAGTGGTGCTGTAAGACCTTCAGTCTTCAGGGGGTTGCTGGAAAGAGAGGGATGGTGGGAGAATGTCCTATAATGTCCCTAAATTCCCGTCCAGAGTTAAGTACCAAGCTTGGCCATTGTCTCAGCGGGTTAAGTCTCTTTAGGTTTACATCTGCACTGGGAAGACAAGTCATTTATCCATTCTTCTCTCTTCTCTCCCCGATTTCCAGGGTGGTTTTCACTGATAGAGCAAGCAACTGTGGATAGCAGCTTTACATACAAGCTTAGGTTGTGGGAGTGGACAATCCAACCAGCTTAGCAACTAACCAGATTTGTTTACTGCTTTCGATGTCAGCTGGGAAACCAGAGTCAGAATACATGAAAAGAGATCTGGGGTCAAATGTTTTCTTCCAGATTGGCACCTTGCTGCCTGTCACTGAAGGAGAACGCCACCATATAGGCCACGATGAGTATCAAAAGCTACAGAAAACTGGTACGTAGGTAAGCAAGTATTTGACAGTTCAAAAGCTGCCCATCTCATATGGAGAATGAATTTTCTGAATGAGGAAAAGCAGAGGAACATGTACATGACCATAGCTCTAAAACTAAATGGAAAACAGAGTTATACTAAAGGGATTGGCTATTCTTGCTGTAATGACCCACGTCCCTGCTGACTACACTTTAAGTGGAGGTAAGTTTTGTTGGTAAAACTCCATTGAAACAAGGAGCAATTTCATTTCTCTCAAGTTCCTAGCACTGTACTAAAAACTTCTTGTAAATTTGTTAAAACTCCTCTGAATTTGGCTTTGAGCAGCTTGTGAGGCATTCATAAGGAAGACATATGTTTTTCTATATAAAGAAAAGCGATCTCAGTAGATCCTGAAGTCAAGATCTAGCCCTGTCTCCAACCACGAGTGAAAAACAGTTACCAGCACATGAAAATGAATTGTGAAATAATGGCAGAAATCAAGCAATGCCACGCAGATGGTTACTGGAGTAAGTATGTAAGAATATAAAATGGCTGTACTGGGCAAGAGCAATTGTTCACATAGCCTGTATCCTGGCTCTGATAATAAATAAAACAGATAAACTTGTATCTGATAT